TGCTCCTAGTAGCAATGCCACGAGCCCCTAGTAGCTTCCTTGCTCCTTGTAGCGATGCCAGGAGCCCCTAGTAGCTTCCTTGCTCCTAGTAGTAAGGCCAGCTGCCTTGCTCCTAGCAGCGGTGCCAGGAGCCCCTAGTAGCTTGCTTGCTCCTGGTAGCAAAGCCTGGAGCCCCCAGTAGCTTCCTTGCTCCTAGTAGCGATGCCAGGAGCTTTGCTACCAGTAGCGATGCCAGCCCCAAGTAGCTTCTTGCTCTTATAGTAGTGATGCCAGGAGTTTGTAGTAGCTTCTTGCTCCTAGTAGCGATGGCACGAGCCCTGATAGCTTCTTGGCTCCTAGTAGCGATGCCAGGAGCCCCTAATAGCGTCCTTATTCCTAGCGCAGATTCCGTCCATTCCGTATGTCTTCAGCCATTTGGAGCAAAGGAGCTTGAGCAAGATTCGTCGAGAGTCGTCATGTCGGCTTGTCCTTCTCCTCGCATCTTCCTGTTTTGCGGTGAAGGGGCTCACAGCGCGGAGACGGACATTGCCACGCAGCGCAGAAACATGATTTGCCATGTCCGTATTTATTGTTCAGAAGACTTTGGATTTCACAGTGAAACCAATGCCCTATTTGTCTTTTGAGGCTTGCCTGAAATTGTCCAGATCGTGGCCTGCTGTAGAGGATGCTCTTCAGCAATTGGGATTGTCCAATGCGGAAGCTTTCTTGCAGCAAAACCTTGGAAAGCACTGTGCGCCCACATCTCCTGTGGTATCCGTGGTGCTTAACATGCTCAACGCAGACCTGTGGCAGCAGTGACTAGGTTCACAGAAATATGTTTTTCTGTTTCTCTTTTTGGTGTTTTGCAAGTCTGTGACAGTTGTTCTTAAACACATGTGTTGCAAAACAATGAATAGGCCGATGTTGTAATGGCATCACGGCAGGGCCTATTGTAGCCTTGGGCCTAAGTTGGTAAGCAAAATTCCCAGCTAAAAGACAAAGCCACCAAGTGACTCAGTCAGAACCCAGTTTGTGTTGCAAGCCATGTGAATAGTGTCTCCTAGTCCTTTGGCCTGCTGGTCCCTTTCCTCGTCCACTGGCCTCGTGGTCCATTGGTCAATGTTGGTCAAAAACACGAGGTTTGCGAAAGCAAAGCGCTACCCGGTTGCCTTGGTCCTTGCGTCACTTGACCGTTTTGGGCAGGTGGGGCAACGTGCTCCGACCATGTAGGGGGAGCACAGGGGCAGCAAATGTGGGTCCTCAGGCAAGCCACGATCGAAACAGCAGCCAGCGCCGCGGCTCCGTTTTCACCCGCCACTCACATTGAGTCAGTGCTCTACAGGTGCCCCTGGACATTGGGGCCATGTGACAATAGAAATGCCAAGGCTTCATGACTTAGGCTGTGCAACCTGCGCACTCCTAACAGTGTTAGCTTCAACAGATTGTCCCATGGGTTGATGCTGCGCCATCCACGGACAAGATGCTCAGTTGAATCAGGGGTCTACTCCATGGCTTATAATGCGCCGCAGTCATCAATGCTGTCCTCGCATTCAAACCAAGATGTCAATCCGGCGAAAGCCTGTGAACCTGTGCAGCGTATGCGTTTGGCCTGGTCGAATATTCCGCCACCCGTTCTGCGCCAGTGCTCCAGCTTGCTCGAGATTGATAGTAGCTACCTTCCGGGTAACCGTCTGTTTCATATCCTTCTTGAAGGGGTTCACTATCACTCATTGCGCATTGACTGTACAGTGGCGGCTATGATCAAGTATCCTGGACCGAAGGCCTAGAGTGCAACTGGCCTCACAAGCCGGAGCGCAAGGAAGTGAAGCGAGCGGTTTTTTCTACACACGCACGTACCGAGCGAAAGTGCATCGGGGTGTATATGTATATGGTGTGAAAGCATTGCGTAAGAGCATCACAGTAAGGCAAGTAAAACAACCCCAAAGGAGGCCCAGAAGACCAGAAACAAGACAGTCAGGCTCAAATTCTTTGCTCTGTAGCGTGCGTCGAAGCTATCTGCGCAAAAGGCAAAAAAGAAGTGTCATGTCTTTGACATGCAAGGAAGGTCTGTTCTGCACGAAATTGGTATCCGTTCCATTGGCAGCACTGGTGCCGGCGTTGCTGCTCTAACGTCACATAACAACGAACGACCCTGTGCCAAAAGAAAAGGCGCAAACTTTTGTTGTCGCCAACAACTAAACCTGGCCCAAGTTCGGCGCCAAAGTTCAAACAAGGAAGCGCGGGTAACCAAAACAGCTTCTCAGTTGCTCCAACCATGATCATGATCAGAATCCGAAACCGTATTGTGAACAATCCAGAGTGACAAGTCACCTCAAGCCCGAGTCAAACCATCTAATGTCGACGTAGGATCAATCAACCCCCTCAAGGTCAACAATGTCAACGAGGTTTCATATTGGAGGTATTGGAGATCAGATCTCCCGAGTTTCGCCAGCATAGACCCCAGTCCAGGTCAGCCTGGAACTGGCGACAAGCGCCAACAACTGATGGAGCGGTTGGACGGCCCAGCAGAGAAGTCTGGCCCAGATTAGGCTCAAGCAGCCATCCATGGTGACCCATTAATGCGACGCCCTCAGATCGTCCAGTTGCGAGCTCGTCTCAAGAATCGACTTTTGCGCGCAGCACCGAAGCAGCAACACCAGCACGCAGGCTCCCAAGCGCGCACTGCCATAAACATCTGGCAATGCTCTGCAGCGCTCTCCAAAGCGCACGCGGCTATAAGCCTCGCGGCAGAAGCGCCCACTGCCATAGACATCTGGCAGTGGCACCTGCAGCGGCACCAGGGCAAAAGCTTCAAAGCACACACGGCCACACATCTGTCAGCGGCACCAGCGCCCAGGCCCCAAAACGCACACGGCTACAAACCCGCCCTGGACAGCGCCAAGGCTCCAAAGCGCCCACTGCCACAACATCTGCAAAGCGCGCGGCCACACCCTGGCAGTGGCAGCCAGCGTCCAGGCTCTAAAGTGCACACAGGCACCTCTTGGTATGCTTGAAGTAAGAACCCCACTGGCTCTTGCTATCTGGTGAATAAAGGTGATGACCTGATGATGGATGATGGTTGATGGGATTCTCTGCAAAACATGAGGCGTGTGTTAGGGGTTCAGATTTTGATAGAGGGTTAACAATGGAGAGCGAACAGAATTTTGCTAGAGAATTCTTAGGGATTGTGGAGCAAAGGCTGCTTGGGAGTTTAGATCGCAGCTGTAAAAAACATATTGGTGAAATATCTTCTGCTTTCTGGACGCAAATGGGCTTGATCAATAGGGGAGGTTTTTGCAAAGAAAGATTGTCATTAGAGGGATGTCAATGTGGAAATTCAGGCTTACATTTAGTTTGTTATTGGGGGCGCGAGCTGGGTTTGATGAACAAAATACTACTAGATGCACATCATATTATTTTGGTCTAAAGAAAACACGTACACCCACCACATTGCTTGTAAACAAGAGAACGGACAAGACACACCAACCAACCGAAACAACAACACTAAAACACTCACAACACGGGAGTACATCGGAACAAACACTGCAAATGTGTGCGGATGCATCGAAAAACATATAGTTGACTACGTAAAACAATCTACTCAACTCCGATACGACATGTACAGGATTTCGCACTTGAGGCCTTCGTGGTTCAAAACAGCTCGCATGGTAGCGGAGCTGAGAAGGCTGACACTCGTCAGCTGGAGCTCCGGGGGAATTTTTAATCCAGGTGTGAGGTCGCCCGCGCCGAGCCACCCATCCAACTAGTGTTGCACTTTCGCTCGCAATCATAGCGTGAGACTACCTGAAGAAGATCTTCGAGCGAGTGTCCTTTGGAGGTGTGGAGAAGGGCGAACGACCTGGGTAGAGGGAAGAGCTTGGCACGAAGAGGAAGAGAAGATGGACCAGTCCGACATGCCAGGGCTAGCTCAAGCTGTCATAGCGGCTGCTAATGCAGCAGCCCAGGCGGCTCAGGCAGCGGCTTCAAGTGGAGGAACAGCTGGTCCAGGTGCAGAAGGAGCAGGGGGAAGTCAAGGGGTGTTGAAGCGTGATCTAGCAAAGTTGATCCCACGACCTGGTGCCTTTAATCCCACTGACAGGGAACAAGAGGTTTTGCAGTGGCGAGATTGGTACTGGACAGTCAAACAATATCTGGTTGTTGTTGATGCAGCATTCCAAGACGAGTTGGAGAAGCTAGAAACCAACCTGACAACAGAGATAGACTGGGAGTTGCTAGATGAGGAGGAACAGCAGAGAAGTCGCTTTCTATACAGCTTGTTGGGGAGCTTGGTACAAGGACGACTGACAGGTGTAATCAAGAATGTCGAGAAGTTCAATGGAATGGAAGCACTTCGACAACTGTTGATGAACTGTCAACCCCAGGCGAGAAACAGGACGATGAACCTCCTGCAAGGGATAATGTCCTACCCGAGCTTCAACATGAAGAGTTCCTTGCTGCCTCAAATCCTCAAGTTGGAGGAACACTATGTCCAGTATGAGCGCCTTGGAGGAAAGCTATCGCCTGACATGAAGTCGGCGGTGTTGCTCAGAGCGGTTTCGGGTCAGATGAAGACTCATTTGAATCTGACTTTGAATGAAGGCAGCTCATACAACAAAATCAGGGAAGCAATCATTGCCTTCGACACGGCCACCACCAAGTGGAATGAGTCGGGAGCCCTTACGTTTTTGACAAGTGCAGCAGATCCCAACGGTCCAGTACCCATGGAGATTGACCGCATCAAGGGTGACGGCAAGAAAGGAAAAGGGAAGACCAAAGATGGTAAAGGCAAGTCAAAGGGCAAAGAAGACCGACAGAAAGGAAAAGGGAAAGGTGGCAAACCAAGTGGAAAGGAAGGCAAGGGTAAAGGAGGTGGCAAGGAGAACAAAGGTGGCAAAGGCAAAGCCGCCAACGAAGTGTGTTGGACTTGCGGTAAGCCCGGACACATGTCACGTGACTGTTGGAGGATCAGACAAGTCGAAGCACCAGCAGTCCAGAGCATCGCAGGTTCTCACACCACTTCGCCCTCTACGACGTTGACAACGAGCACATCGAGTGGAGGAGGCGGAGACACCAACGTGGGTGCCAAGAACATTAGACGTGTTTCACAGCCAGTGATCTTTGACTTGAGAGAAGGGAGTGAAGCTGGTTCAATTCGAGTTGTGAGCCAAGTTGAATTTTTCAACATTGCCTCAGAGGATGAAGAGGAGGATGGATGCTACCAAGTCAACACCATTGCTGAGACTGAGAATGAGGAGGAGGTCGAAGAGGCCTATGCGAAAGGAGAAGAACAACAGACCTTGAAGGTGATTGTTGACTCGGGGGCGGATGCCTCGATCTTCCCAGGACGACTCATGGGAATGACGAGGAGTGATCAGGTGTTGGGACAAGCCCCCCTTCAGGGAAGAAGATCCAGAGTTATGGCAACAAAGATGTGGATATCTTGATGATGACATCTGAGGGCCAATCTGTGGTCTTGAAGGAGAGAGTGACCTTCAGCGACATGGTGAGCCAGCCCATCTTGTCTTTTGGACGCTTGATGAGAAGCGGGTGGTCCATCGATGGCCAAAGACAATGTTTGAGGAATGGAAGCCTGGAGGTGCCTTTAGCGTTTCAGAATCAAAGCCTAGTGGTTGATGCCGCTATCAGGGTGATCACAGAACCCCTGGTGATTCGCACGCTGGCAGTCAGGCTGAATGAGGAGTTGACCAACATGGCTGGAAGCGGCTATGGTTGGAAGAAGAAAGATGAGTTTTGGGTTGGACCACAAGGTTTCAAAGCCCACAATTCATCCCGGGCTTTCGAGATCAAGGAGAAG